TTCAATACAGTCATTTTCTCTTAATTCAATAAAAGGTAGTAGAATTAAGCCAATAAAATTATTACACGGTTCGCTCTATTAGATCTACACACAACAAAATGAAGGATTCGAACAAGGAAGAGCTACAGATATCTTGAAAGAAAAGAAAAAATGTCCGAAAATACTCGAACTCCAAGTTGATCGGACTCTAACATATTTGCATGATCATTTATATACTTCAAGACACGCTTCTCAGGTCAAAAATTAGACGTGAGATCTTGTAAAATTAAATGAAATCATAGGAGAAATCATAGTCTTGAAAATCTTACATCAAATTTTACTATGAGATTCTTTAAAGATCTTACCTTCAAGTAGGATTTCCTATAATCTTATTATTATATCTTACAGAACAGCAAGATCTTTCAAGTATCTTACTGTACGATTTGATGTAAGATTTTTGAGATGACAAGTTTTTTTTTGCGTTTTCATCCGATATTACAAGATCAGAAGCACACTCTTGCAAGATCTTCTGCTTGGATTGTTTGGGTTGAACTGTTTAAACGAGTTGGGTAGCTTCCAGATTCTTGCGCTGACATGAAAATAGAACGTGAATTGCTCTGCCTTGACTACAAAAGCATAGTTCTAGTTCGTTTGATGTCTAGTCTCAACGGAACCTGCCAAATGTTCCTATGCGATGCTGAACCCGTGAAGTTTTATGCTTATCTTGATGTGAAACCTCTCAGTTTTTTTCTTGGAGGCATGCAAAATTCTCGAAAAGCTTTGTATCAATTCTATAAGATGTAGCATTGTGTTCGACAGTTGCGATAATCGCAGAAAACCTTTTTAAGATTTCGTACTGCTGTAGTACCCGTTTTGAGTGTGTCGTAGTAAACGTTTTTTTACAATATGAGTGTTCTTCGTGTTGCACTTTCCCGTACTTGGCTTTCTTGTGTTGAACTTTCCTCGTGCTGATCATTTCGTATGCTGTTGTTTTCTGTGCTTGAATTTCACTAGCCCAGACCTCATCGTCCTCCATCCTCCAAAAAAAGGAGACATATAGGTATGTATTCGTTTGAATTATTCTAAAAACTCCATAGATTCCCATTTCATTTTGAAATCGAATAGTTTTTTTTTGTTGTAAATTCGAATTGAAATTAAATACTCCATTGTATGCATATTTAATAATAATAATAATAATAATAATAATAATACTTCTTCTCTACCAAGAAATCAAGCTGTTTCACCGTATATCATGCTAAATCTTGCTAGTGAAGCATGTGATCCAGTAGAGTCGTTCGTTAAAATGAAAGATGGATAAAAATATGAGTTAAGAAGTTCAACTAGTCTGGATATCATAAAAATACAACTTTTCTATTATATGTACTTTTTATAATTTTAGGTATGCAATTACAATGGTTGTAAGGGGTTGAATTCTGTGAAGAACAACAGTTTCACTTGTTCAAACATTCATTGCAAAAAAAATTTTCGTAAATAAATAATTTTTTCTTTTCTAAAATGTTGCTTCAATATTTTTTCTGCTCTTCCTTTTTTCTTATTCATGGTCTTGTTTATATTTGTTCGTACGTACTATTTGCGTTTTGCTTGGTATAATACTTCGTGTTTGTTGTTCAATATTTCGTTTTCTTTGAATAATTGTTATACATTCGTATTTAAGTTTTCCAACTATTTCAGAAGTATTTGTCTATCAAACAAAAATCATTATAAATTTTATTTGTTCTATGATTAATCAAGAGAATTTTTCTTGACCATCGTTCGACATTTCTTTCTTATATACTGTGAATTATTTTTCTTTTGTTTTTTGTTTATGATTAATTTTGTTTGTTGTCATCTACGTTCAAATAGAATTAAGATTCATTGACAACGAAAAATATTTATGATAATATTTCAAATAAAATACTTCATGTGAAATGTTAATCTTTATTTCTTTGAAATAAATAGTTCATTTCTTTCAGTATCAACCTAACGAAATTGATCACTTTTCTTTGTATAATCTTTTACCGAACTTTCAATAATAAGCATCAGTTTGCTATAATAATTATATTAACTTCAAGGTAGTTGGTCATTGAATTCTGTTTTAATATTATATTTGATTTGAAAAGTGTTTTTAGACGAAAGTTGAGTAGCATTCTCTTTCTATCGAGTAATTCTGATATGAAATTCTCAAATACTCAAGGGTTGTTCAAAAAGAAAAATTTGAGGCATAGTTGATTTTTCATAAAACAGCAGTGAGAGAAGATTCGCTTGATTTACTTTACAGAAGATCTTTGTTCTTTGAAAACAATTAAATATTTTGATAGATAAGTTTTTACATATTAACAAACGGCAAGTTTCTTTCGAATTATGCATGTGAGTGTAGATTCTATACTCGTATTCGCAGTCGTAACCTATACTCCCACACCTTGTATAAATGTGACTTTAACAAAAGTGAATTGATGGCTGTCATGGTGAACTAGACCGAATAGATAGAAACAAGTGTTGGTTGCACTTACAACGACAATTCGATCATATTGACAATTTATCATACTCTTACTTCTCTCACTCTTTGATGAAAAAAAGGAAAACACTTTGAAGTTTATCTCGCAGTATTTTAGGCCATCTATCATTACTATTTTTCATTTCTATCTCTATAAACTTATGTTTCAATCAATCAAAATTTTATATTATCTTTTCTAGAAGATTCGAAATGCAGAATAATGATCTGCATTGTACATTAATTACTACAATTCATGTTAGAAATACTGTCTTTATTACAAATGAAACGAGAAAACTACATAGTTTCAATACTGAGAAATGGATAATCATTCATCTATGAAATGCATTTGAACTGACAATATAAAGTAATAATAGAACATAATCGAACATTTCACCTAGCGAAAGTTTTTAAAGATCTCATCTTGTTTATAATAAGTGAGGTAGAACTAAACTGATACAAACATCTTCAACAAAACTATTAAAAATATGTTTTGTATTATTTGTAATTATTATACACAGAGTGTTCAGAAAGTAACTAAACATAGAAAAATTAAAATACCTCCGCCATATTTTTAACCATATGAATTGATATTTTTACGGTGACCGGACAGATTGTCGCAGGAAAAATCGTCGCCGACAAATTGTTGCGGACAATTCTTCGCANATCAAAATTTTATATTATCTTTTCTAGAAGATTCGAAATGCAGAATAATGATCTGCATTGTACATTAATTACTACAATTCATGTTAGAAATACTGTCTTTATTACAAATGAAACGAGAAAACTACATAGTTTCAATACTGAGAAATGGATAATCATTCATCTATGAAATGCATTTGAACTGACAATATAAAGTAATAATGGAACATATTCGAACATTTCACCTAGCAAAAAATTTTAAAGATCTCATCTTGTTTATAATAAGTGAGGTAGAACTAAACTGATACAAACATCTTCAACAAAACTATTCAAAATATGTTTTGTATTATTTGTAATTATTATACACAGGGTGTTCAGAAAGTAACTAAACATAGAAAAATTAAAATACCTCCGCCATATTTTTAACCATATAAATTGATATTTTTACGGTGACCGGACAGATTGCCGCAGGAAAAATCGTCGCCGACAAATTGTTGCAGACAATTCATCGCATGGACAAATCGTCGCAAAGACAAATAGTTGCGGACAAAATGTTGCAATATTTTATGGTGCAAAATAGTTGTGCATCATCAACTGATTTTCTAGAAAATGATAATAAAGAGTGAAGAAAAATAATGAGAAAGGACTACAGTTTCTCAGGAAAATGGAGTACAGGATTGAAAAAGGATTAACACATTTACAAAAACCGGAAAAGCTTTTCCGATATTATACTGGAAAAATCTTTTGTATCGAATTCTTTCATATTCTCTCAATGAAATAAAACTTCTGCACCACACCACAACGCGAAGCTTTTGTATCTTAAAAACTGTTCAGTCGTATAGATCATTTAGTAGAGTTTTTGCCAAAGTTTTTTCGAATACATCTATAGAAAAATCTATATAGGTTTAGTCAATGTATTATTCCTTTTTTAATCCAGTATTCCATTTTCCTGAGAAACTGTAGTCCTTTCTCATTATTTTTCTTCACTCTTTATTATCATTCTCTAGAAAGTCAGTTGATGATGCACAACTATTTTGCACCATAAAATATTGCAACATTTTGTCCGCAACTATTTGTCCTGCGACAATTTGTCTTAACGCCATTTTTACCACTGATAAAGTAATGTTTATCGCTCATATTTATAAGAGAACTGTTGTTAAAAATCGTTTTAAAGTATTTACAACTGACTCTAACAAAGAGCTGTAACAATTTACAGGTTATAAAAAGACAATGTATTTAATCCGTTAATCAAGTATAAAAAGACATCGAATTTTTTCGATTAATTCTTCACTGTAGTATCCTCTCAGACTCATATTTATAATACAGATATTTGTCTTGTTACTCAGTGTACCCAAAAATTTTAAACCATAAACAGCAAGATATTGTTATCAAAACTACAATAGTAATTTTTCATAACTTCGTGAAATGTTACAGATCTTTGTTGAAGTCAGTTGTACTACTTAAAAACAACTTTTGAGAATTTTTCTCTTATAAATATGAACTATAAGCATTCCTTACACAGGGAGAAAATTATCAGCCCATATGATCGAAATATGGCGGAGATATTCAAGTTTTTCTGTGTTTAGTTCGTTTCTGAATATTCTACGTAATCCATAGAACTCTATGTGAACCGATCCAAAGAGAAACATTTGTCTTATGCCATTTATAGGTATATAACATTTGCTTCAGTAATAATAGACAAGTTTTTATATTCTTTTTTTATGAAGATTATTTAAATTTGTTATACCATTTCATTTCATTTTTATGTTGTTTAAGACACATACAAAAAAAAGTCAGAAGATATGCACATTAGAAAGAAAAGAGAATAAATATAACATAAACATAATGTATTTACAACGAGAAATAAGAAAAAAAAAGACTCGAAATATTAATTGCAAAGTTCAAATAGACATGAACTAAGTGTTTGCGATGCTTCAGATGATTCAAGAGCTAAATTTGCAATAATGTGTTCATATTGACGAAGATTTCTAAATGAAATATAATAGATTTTAATTATTATGTTTATGGAATTGATTTACTGTTTTCCAGTTGATGAATGTCGAGCAATATTACGTAAAATAAGTGCAGCTGTTAGACGAATACTTTTTGTCAATGGACCTTCTTTACTTTTATTCTAGGATTTTAAATAAAATATTTAATCAAACAGAAGAAAAATAAATGAAACCTACTATTTGTTCATCAAATAAATTAACTTGCATATAACGTCGAATCGCAAACCAAGCAGCATCAGATGTATAACCACCTGATCCCGATGTCAATATACGATTACTATTCGTAGAAACATTTGATGGATTTGCACTTGTCGAAGGAACAGGATTCGTCAATTTGAGTTTTGCTTGCCGAAATGCAACTTCTGAACAATGACGTTCCTATAGATGAAATAAAAATTAAATAACGAATGGACTGAAAGTTTTGAGACAAAAACTATGGATTAGGACTAGCATATTGTGCACTTTCTAAATATGAGCTTAGAAATTCTATTTTAGTTTTTGTTTAAGGATAGTGAGGTCATTTTTGAGAGGTTCAAATATGAATTTGGATGAAAAATGTAAGTGAAAGCATCTGATGCAAATAGTTGTACATTTTAATCTGCTCGAAGATATTTCAGACAAGCCAAAGTTGTCAAAAATTATCGGAATCGATCGTATTGTCGAGCAGATACTTCTTCACAAAATATTATATTAAACTAACGAGGAAAGTACTCTAAGTGACACCCGTTGTTTAAGTTCATATTGAGCCCACAGGCTAATCTCGATAAGAATAGTAACAGCGTAAAACGGTTCGTTTCTATTGGTCTTTGGCTCCGAGTTATGATCAGTCTACTGGATTTTTTTACCCATTTTTAAGTATTCTCGGTAAAACCAATAATGAAGTTTTGATCCAAAATTTTCCTCATAGATAGATCTAATAACTCTTAGAATATTCTGAAAGTATCAGCCGAAAAGAATGGTCCCTTGTAGAATTATTGAATTTTCAAGTGAACTATTTTTTATTGTGACAAAGGGCTATTTTTGGATGCGCATAATTTTAGGTCGATTTTTCAAAAATGATTGTTTAAGAGAAACAATGATCAAAGTAACCTGCAGAAAAATAAAATAAAAACTTCGATAGTACATTCTGTTGAATAGCTTCTGCTCTGCAAGCCAATATATTAATAGAGATGTTTCAACATTTACTTTCGAATTGCAATAATGAAAGTATAAAAATATATGAAAAAACTTTCTGTTTAAACTTTCTTTTTTGAAATCTTTCAAAAATCATTTCATTAGTTTCAAGAAAAACTTTTCAAGTCTATATTCGAAAAGAGCACCAAATTTTGGTCATAAGTTACAATTCTGGACTCATCGAAAACATTTTCCACTTTTCCGTTAAATGAAATATTTTATCAATAGAAATATACTTGAATATGATTAATTAAAGCCCATTTTTGTCGTTTTAATCGATCACATCCATTCCATAAGCACACGTAATCAGACGAATGTTTAACATGAATTGAACAAGTATGATGAAAAACTGCTCGTGCTGTAGCAAAAGATCTAATATGAAAAAAAAAATTCTGCAACAAAAAAAAAGACATTTTTTATTCTCTTTTACACTTGGCAATTATCCCAATCGCAAACATAATCATATGTTGTTGTTATAACATTCGATATTGAAATAGTTGGTCTATTATCAGATAATTCTTGTTCCATTGGTTCATCTTTTTTTTCTGTTGCAACAATTTCATTTGATGAATTCTCTATTAAAGATTTTTGTTTTGTTGATTGATTATGGCTTTTTGTTTGTAATTGTTCATCAACATGATCAATTTCTTTTGTTGTTTGTGTTTCCATTTTACGTTTAAATATTGGTGATGTTATATAATTATTAATTTCCGATAACGATTGATCAACTATGAATACAACACGTTGACATAAATCATTTAGACATAAACGAATATCATTATCAAATGATTGAGATGAACAACGATCAAGTAGATCAGTCATTGTTAAATGAATATTGTTTGATATAATATTATTTTCCATATTACTGTCATCTTCAATAGATGATGATGCAATAGTAACAGGATTTTTTAATGCAATAGAGTCTGAACGAGATGGACAAGAAAATTTTGATGAAAATAATATGTCATTAAGAGAAGCATTCATTGTTTCTGTAAGACCTAGAAATATTTAATTGTTTGAAAATTTTTTCTTTAAATTACAAAAACAAATCGAATTTACAATCATATTTTCGTTTCTTATCATTTGTTTGTATATTTGTATTAGCAATAATAGTTGATGGATTTTGTGTTGATGATGTTGAAAGAGATAAAATATTTCCTGATGAAATAAGACCAGCTAATGTTAATGGTTTGGAATTTTGTTGAATAATAAGTTTTGTATTATTTTTATTTATTTCAGAATTTTCAATTGAATATATTTGATGTTGTTGTTGTGTCGGTTGATTTGAAGATATAACAACAATTGGTTGTGGTGTTATTGATGGTTGATGATAAGATTGAAGAATCGATGGACCTGAAGACATTTCAATAATTTTTATAGTTTTTATTGTATCAGAAGAAAAACTTCGTGCTTCAATTGTTAATAAATCAATTAATGTTGTTATTATTGATGTTGAACATTGTACTTTAAGTATTATATCACATACTTGCTCGCCTATGACGAAAAAAAAAACATTTTTATAATTTAATCGCTTTTTCTTGGTAAATTTTTTGTTAAAAAAACTAACTTAAAAGTGTGAGGACAAAAAATAAACTGTAGTTTAATATATGATTAGAATTATATGAATATGATTGTGATTGGTAGTAATTTAAACATACCAGTGAAACAGGCTCAAATTAGAATTATTTGACCGTATATATTTTTGCTTGATGAGAACACGAATCAAATTTTTTCACTGCAACAATATAATATAATAAGTCTTCAATCCTTTAAATGTTAGATTTATTGTTTTTGTAAGACTAAACTTTTAGAAATTTAAAACATTTAAGAATACCACAACAAATTTTGAAGACAAATATATTCAATAGCTTCATATACATTACATACTAAAAATATTGCAACAAAAAAAAACGAAAATAATCAAGAATAATCTTTGCATCAAGGATTTAAAAAAAAAACAGATTTATTGTTGTTTACACATGTATAATTCAATGTATCGTTGTGTCTGTCATTGTTATCGATAGAAGAAATAAGCAACTAAACACAAAATATAGCACAGCTAATGGAAAAGAACTATCAATTAAAGAACAACATTCAGAAAGAAAAGCTATATTGAACATAAAAAATACTGTTAGTACAACTTCTTTGAAGTTAAAATATAGAAGTCGTATGTGTTTTTTAACCTCACTATATTAATACAATGTATGTCAAGTGAAAAGTCTCAAATAGAATACAGCTGTTTTTTCAAGGATGATTGATTGTCAGGGAAACAATCTGTCTTATTTATTTCTGTCTTTTCTTAAACAGAAATCTTTTCTTTTTAGTCATTGATTAAACTGACAGATAAGTCTGTTGTATATATCCATTATAAGTTATTATCTGCACAGAAATAAAAAAAAAAAAACTGCATTATTTAGAACATTCATAAAGGCATTCTAGACATTCAAATTACGAGAAAACTTTTGAAATGTTCAATCGTTTTCTCCTTTGATTTGGAAAACTACTCAATAACTATAGTCTCTCTATACCCTGTCGTTACGAGGAGAAGTTGCAAAATCTCAACTTAAAGTTTACACTCACGATATTTTCCTTCAAAATTTATAATCTAAATTCTACAAAAGCTGCACTTGATACAGAGAACGATAACCAGTATGAAATGTCAGAACCGATAGAGAAAAGTAGAATTGATACCAAACATCATTCACAAAGCACGTTAAAGAAGTTTGTCGCCTATATTTTTCTATGAAAACTATCTCGACGTAATTATTATGTCATTAGCAATTAAAGAGTTTATATTAATTTTAAAATCTGCTAAAATAAAACAGTTTTGTATAGTTTTGATAACAAATAGCTAGTAATATGATGAGTTTTTAGAATACTCTGTCAAATATAAACTAAAAACAGTTTTGAAATAAAAAAGTATGATTTTTCTATATAAATTTTCTTGAAATATTATCAATATTTGAACATATATATTTCATATCTAAGATATCGAAAATAGAGAAAATCAGTGAGAATATTCTATTTTCAAATTGATTTTCTTCAAACATAATGATATTCTCGAATTTTTACATATATATTTTGATTTTACAGGTTTAACAAACAAAATTATTCTAACGATAATCTAAATTATTGTTTTTCTCTTTTGTTTAATTAACTATGTACGTAACTTAGTGAGTAAATTCTTCAATGAAATTTATTTCATTTGTTTTTTTTAAAATTTATATTAAATTACCTAATTCCGATAATTGATATAAACATTCTAAACAATGTACTAAAATAAGTATATCTGGTATATGTATAAGACTTTTAACAATGATATCAATATAATCAATTAAATAAATTCCATTATCATTTCCAGCACGAGCTAAATTAGTAATAATTTCTAATGCACGAATTATTTTAAATCGATCTTGTTGTTGTTGTTGATCATCATCACCATTTAACATAGAATTTAATAATTGTCGAAATAAAAAACCTTCATCATTACTTATCGTACGTAAATGCATATATAAAGCTAAATTAGTCCATATATCATATGCATATTTTTGTAATTCAATTTTATTTTCACAATACGATATTAATAATAGAAATATATAAGTTCTTGATAATGTTGATTGTATTGTATCAAGTAAATAAAGTGCATTTAAACGATCAAATGAAAAATTACGTATTATCATTAATATTTGTTCAATACGAAATTCTTGTTCACGTTGATTTTCATTTGAATTAAGATTAAAGTTTTTATAAAGATCATTTTTCTTATTATCAATATCAATATTTAATAATAATTTAAGAATTTTTGCTGGACATGATTCAATCCAAAATAAATCCATATGATAATTTGAATGTTTTGACCAAAGATTATCATATAAAGTTTTTAAATAATGATCATTAATTAATGTATCCGAAGGTAGAAATAATCCAATATGTCGAAAAAGTAAATCTAATAAACGTGGACATTTATATAAATGAAATGATTTTGCATGATTAGCTGATGATGAAAGAAGTAATAAAGTATTTAATGTAAATGTTAATTCATTTGGAAAACCACATAATAAAGCTAATTCTAATTTTTCATATTCATTTCGATTTACAAAATCATTAAAAAGACCATATTGAATGCGTAATGCATCTAGAGAAAAAAAAATAATTTTTTTATTTCAAATATAAAACTAGTTCTATAATTCATAATCAAAATTATTTTATAAATGGAATTTTATAAATATCACCAAAATTAATCGTCGGAGAGAACCTCTCTAGATCTCAAATCGCTATTCGACAGAGACGATTTTCATTTGATGAGTGCTAACGACGAATAGAAAAGTCTAGGATGATTTAGTTTTGTGAGTATTCATTCTTAAGATATCGTAATTTTACTGAATTTTTCAACAAAGAGCTGTGGCCTGGTCATATTACTTTCAAGTTTCGATTTCAAATTTTGCACGAAAGAAATTTCTCAATGAGATCAGTTGATTATGCAAGTTATAACTTCTCTAGTATCTTCGATCCTGAGATGTTCAACATTCGACATTCTATCATATGTAAATGTAAACTTTGTTCATACATATTACATTTTTAGACAAGAAGCAAGAACAGAAATAAAAGTTGCGCAATCGATTAATCTCATTAAAAAGTTTGTTCGTGCAAAGTTTGAAGTCGAAACTTGAAAGTTGCCATACCATTTTTTTTCTGTTGAAAAACTGAGTAAAATTTTAATATCTCAAGAATGAAAGCCTAGAAAATCAAACCATTCTAGGATTTTCTATTACTTATTACTACTCATCAAATGAACATCATTTTAGTTGACAAGCGATTTGACATTTGAAGAGATTCTCTTGCGAGTCAATTAGTATTTCAGATTCTTGGAGTTCTATGTTAAAATAGACAGTAATTTAGTGATGGTTTAATGTTTCAAATGAATGTTTGTTGAAAAGTAAATCTCTCTTTGATGACGATTAGGAATAAACAGCTCTAAAGTTCTTTTATTAGTGCGACATATTCTATCTTCATCAATCACTACTAACAATACGTATAAGTTTTATTAGTTAATACTATTAATAAACCAGCAAAAATAAGAGAATTTTATCAAAAACTTAATGCAGAATTTTGAGACAATTCAAATAATTGATTATGAAAGATATATTATATATTTGTTTACTTTCATCAGCAATACAGTATGATGTACAAGAACTTTTGTAGCTTTTCTTGTTTATCACTTATCAATACCATGAAGAATTTCGTATCAGAACAAAGATTATCTTAGAAATATGAACTCTTCTATAATGATGGTAATCTTATTTACAATCTTCTCATAAGTAATATATGATATCAAAAAGGAATGTTTAACTAACGATATTTCCTTGTGAGATTTTGTATTAATTGCTGGAATTCAATTCTCTTTCATCTCGAAATATTTTGAATCGAAATGAAACAAAACAGATGTAGAATTTCAAGTTCAATTCTCTAATAGGAATGTTTAATAAAATGTGATATTCAAGACATATTTTTACTAAAAATTCAATTATTTCTTACCGGAAACAATATGTTGTGTATAATTATATGATTGTGGTACACGTTGTAATTGAGAAGTTGTACGCCGTTTTGAATCTTCATTTTCATCATCACGTGAATCGATATTTTCGCCATTACTTATTTTTTCAAAAGCATATAAATATCTATTTTAAATAAGAGAAATAAAATAATCTTTTTGCTTTTTTATTTGTTACCGAATATAAATATTTTTTAAAGCTTGTGTACCATTCAGGCATGATGAATCAATAGCAAAGTTATTAGCAATAGTTGACCATAATTGTCTATCATTGACTTTATCCCAACCACCATGACTAACGACAGTATTATATAATAAATATAAATCAACAACTTGTCCAGCTATTGTTGGTAAAGAACGAAATGTTGTTCTAGAAATGAATAATATAATACTTTTTTTTTTGTCCAATAAATGATACTTACTGGCGACCTCGATGAAATTCACGTAAACGTTTAAGAAATTCTTCATAAGGAGATAATGATGTTGAAGGAAAAGAAGACATTTGGTATGAATTATTCGTATTTAAATCTGGATTTGTTTGATAAAAATTTGTATTTGTTACCGTTGATGATTGTAGAAGAAAGAGAGATGATGATGGAGTATTATTTGTTGTTGATTTACATAAGATTGGGCGAGGTTGAATTGGCGGATATGTTGTCATTTTTTTTTCTCAATTAATTAAATTTTATCTTTTTAAGAAAGGAAGGCAAGACATAAATAATATTTAATTATATAAATTTCATTATACATTAGTTTAGTCCTTCTACACGACACATCAAACAGTCATGTTAACTCTGCGTTGTGTGTGTGCATCATCACATAGACAAAACCTTCGTTTTTCAACAAGGGTTTTTTTCATGTCAATGATAAAATAGTTTTATTTGGTAGAAGTACGAACAATGAAAAATATAACCAATAGATGGCGGTACTCGATTGTATTCAATTTTCAATACAACTTCAATTTCATAATATTTTTCCCACCTGGTTACATATTATCAATGTCAAATAGAGCTCATTGAATGTTTTTTTTCACGAGCAGATCATTCAATTTTTAGTTTTCAAAGAAAAACAAAATCGTAAAAAAAATTTCAACGAGATTAGTTTAAACATAAATATTTTATATTTGAAAAATACAAAATATTTCTAACTTTAGAGAGATTCTATCGTAATCAATATGTAAAATATTGAACATCATGGAATTCTATATATTGAACAGATGATCATATGTTGATATATTGCTTCGTTAAAGTTGAAGAAACAGGGAACAAGAAATTTTCAACACTAATTGTGTAGATATTCACCAGGGCTCCCAATAGACGCTGAGCAGATGTTCTTTTTGATGTAATGAGTTCAAGATACTCGTATACTAAATTATTCATCAGTAGGGTATCTTTTCAGTTACCCTGCTACCAGTATGTCGCAGGATCTTGATCGAGCACCCTGCTAAGAATTGTCTCAGCATATGGATACTTACTAAGTATTCACTGAGGTAGTTGCTCAGCTTCTATAGCGTTCTATGAAAATTTCTTTCAATAAGTTTGTAGACTCAACATTCAGAAACATTTTGTAGTCAAGTACTTAAAATCTCCAAAATATCCTAAGGTACTAAAGCACTATCTCTCAGTTTTCTACTATAAAAACAGATTCAAAAACATCTGGACATCTGTTTCTGATCTTTGACATTAAAAACATGGGTTCTAAGTGTTTTAAGCTAGTCATATCATGAAAACCGATGCCGTAAGTAGTACAATGTTCACAATAATTAGTACGCTTATCACTTACTTTCGTACACAGTGTATTCAAGATGCTGAGACCTTTCAGCTTTGATTTCATCCGCTATGCGGTTATGTCATGAGTTTCTTTTTTGAAAAATACCGATAGTCAAGAGGGATGTGTTTAGAAAATGGTAAATGAATGTGTTGCTTATGAAAAAAATAAAATGATCGATGAAGATAGAAACAAACATGAACTTATACCTAAAGTAAAATAAACTAATTGTGCATTTACCAAGAAGGATTCCATGTAGGTTCATATTCCATTCTGACTCAATCACCATCAGTTTAAACCTTTGATATAGAACATTTGAATCTACTACCTTCGATTACAACGAGAACATATACTCTCTGGTTCTGTTTAGTGTAAGGATAGAAGAAGTAAAGATAGATAAAATACAAAGAAGATTGTTCGATTGATCATCAAGATACACAATGAGATTTACAATGTTTGCTGATATTTGATTAGATGAATATAAGAGTTTGAAGTAGAGTCAAGTTTTTTTCTTCCGACGAGGCGTCATTTTGAAGTTAGATATTAGACATTACTCAATATACATCTGACCATTACGGTAATATTTATGCTCAGAAGCACCAGTGCCATAATTGTAAGAATTCTGAGTGAAAACTCGAGCATAAAATGCGAAACGAGTACGATCAAAATCATAATTTTCAACCCTCAGAAAAATATTGATTAAAACATAAGAAATTATGAACAAAAGTACTTTCCTTGTTAATTAAAGCAAAGAGAGTTGGTCTTTCATTCGTTTCAAGGTAAAAGATCGGCAAATTCGACTGACTTAAGCATGCTACTAGTTTAAGTCGTCTATTGGAATTTGTTAGTCTTGTGTCGACATGCAAACAATTTGTTTGTCTTTTCACATTGAAGAAAATCTTTTCTAATCTGCAAAATACCTTTGTCTTGTTCTTCTCTTTCGCAAACAAAGTGAGGTTAATTTACACAATAAAAGAAAGTAAATGATGATAGATAGCTTTGATCAAAATAACAAGCCAAACTATTTTTAGCAAAAATTTTTGCTAGATTAACAGCCCATAGGCTGGACTGTTTTCAAAGAAAAAAATCATTGGTGGACTGGATTGAAATTCGGAAACCCATGGGTCGGCTTTAATCGGACTAGTCTAGCCCATTCCAAACCGTGATACTCACTGATTATGAAAAAAATGTTCATATATATATACAGATATATTATTATTAAAACATCGTCTTGCGTTACTAACTACATACACACGAAATTAATCATAAAACTCAAATATCCGTATATAAATGCCAGTTTATTAATAAGTACTACTGCGACTTTGTTGTTAAGCATTATCATCTTTCTTTTCTCTTGAACCACTTTGACCAGTCGATTCTTGGTTTGATGAGACATTCGTATCTTTTACGGATGTTGTCACTGTGCCAAGAGTGCCACCTGGTGATTCAGCATTGCTGCCATTTGAAGGACCTTTTGGGTTGTCAATATCATCACTGGGTTGTCCGCTTAATCCAGAATCTGTATTACTGGCTATTGTTGACATTTTATTGTCAGATGAGAGTATGAAAAATGAACGAAATGTTCGTTAATATGATGTAAGAAAAAAAATCACTTTTTGTATGTAATAAATTTGTTTGTTGTTTCTTTATATATGGAAGAGCTAGTGAGTGCTAATGCAATGTTGTAGAAAAAAACAAGTTGAAAAGAAAGAAAGGAAGAAATTACGAACTGCGTAATGAGAAAATGAAATTGATGGATCTCAACGATCGTTTCTCTTCTTCTCGTCAAAATTAACGTTAAACTTTTTTTTTTATTCATTTCTGCGCACACTTCAATTTGTTTTGAACTACGCAAATGTTTATATAAACATACTCGATGCTCTCTTTTTTTTTTCTAAAACATACGAAAAACTTGAGTCATTTTTATGACGAATATATAAAATTCAAAATAACTGTTGTACAAAATATTTATTAACAAAAACAGACTTTTTCCTTCGATACTACTTTCAGTTCAAATCATCAAGATAGACTAAATGATGGATTAATAAATAGAAAGAGGTGGAGAAAATCGATAATGATTATTGTGAAGATACTCGTCGAATTCAGTAGAAATAACCATCATACCATTAATTAAATCAAATTAGACTTTATAAAAGTGTAATGAACTAAATAGAATCATTTTACTACATACGACGCAATGTAGCTTTAGGTTCTTAATGGAAGACTTTTGCTATTTCTTCTATACTTTCTTCAATCTTTCCTTTTCTTTTCAATTATATTAATTTATAGCAGATCATACTAATTTATTTTGAAAAATATAGTAAAAATGATTACAATGTATCATTTATGTGTAGTTAGATAATTTCGAAAATGTATATTTATTGAATTTGTACTCAATGCATCCATTAACGATTCTGTTTCTTTTTTCTTTCATGTTCTACGTGTATAAGAGTATTAACAAAGTCTATATATAACTCACCATATCAGACTATAATTAAAAATATTCAAAGAAATGAAAACTTATTATAGATTGTATAGCAATTAATCTTTTGTTTAACATACGTGCATAAAAGATCTATCAGTTTCATGGCCATTTTTGTGCTCCATCATAAGTAAAAATAATTTTGAAGTGTATCATGATTTGTCTTATTATTTTCATTCCAGATCAAGTACAAGATAGACTGCCAAGTTCAACATATCTGTTTATTAATAAAAATTCTAAAGTCGAAATCTGTAGACAAAGCGAAATGTATACAAATTATTACTAATAGTACGCGCGAGATGAATTAGTTAATCAAAGATACATAAATATGCAAATAACATTTAATAGAATTTTATTTCAAACTAATAACAACTAGTAGTAATTAGAAAGTCGAAATCTGCGAAAGTACTTTATTCGATGATTTATAAAATGAAGATAATATGACTTGTTTTTCTTGTGCTTAACAATCTTCTTCTTTCTTTATCTTTGATGAACAGAATGAATGTTGAAATGTGCTGTTTGAATTAGAAAACGAACGAGATTGTTTGTATGAAACTTCAATCAATTATGAAGATGTTTAATATTCATAAAAATATAAAATCTATTATTTTTTATATCATTTTTAATCTTTTCATGTCCACATCACATGTCATCATTGGTAATTAGAAATAACCTACCATTTATATGGAAGACAACAGTTGATGTCAGACTTCGATTTAATGTATTATGTCTTATTTCGATAAGTTTGATTAGAATGACAAGACAACTGTCGTTTTTTGCTTTCACACTTCTACTGATAGACATTGTCTAAAGTAGAATGAATGAAAACAACAAGTTGGAAAATGATCAAACGCTAATATCTTGTTTTTTTTTATCAAGGTATCAACTATTATTCCCTGTTTGTATTCAAAGAACATTTTAATCTCATACACTAATAATAACACTCCTAGCACAAAAAAAACGTTACTAATCCTTTGAATATGATAATTATTTCAAATGCAGTCAAAAAGTAATAAAATGCGCATTTCTCCAGGATTTGCTTCTACTATAGCAATACTTTTATTCCAGCGTTTTATCCAAAGCAAACTAATCAATAATAAGTACAAGTGTATGTTACGTACTTCGAAAATAAATGAAATATAATTGTTAATGATTTTTATGTAAATAATGAAGTATCTATCGATATACAATACCAAAGCTCATCACGAAAATTTTGTTTTCTTTTGAAGTAAATTCATTTATTTGTTTGACCCAGTTATTGTTAATGTATTATGATATATCTTATTGTCCAACTATTTCATTTGATTTTTGTAACACCATTCATAATAGGTGGATTTCTTGGTTTGTTATTGTTTAGTTTTCATAGATTAATTAACCACATTTCATCATCCTTAGAAGAAAATCAATAAAAATTCGTACCCTATGAAAAGGAATCATTAATTTTAAAGAATGCATGTATTTCTAACTAATCAGTGTTTTAACTAGCGTAGGGGCCGAGGGCAGAGCGTTTCGCCAAAGATTGGGTTGGGCATCTAGGAATATGCGGTTATGGTACTACATACTAGGTATGTTTACTTCCGACAATCGATGTACAACCTTCTGAAACATAAAATTTGGATAAAAAATTGGCATAAATTAATCTAAAATATTTAAATGAATACGAAATAAAAATTAATAACTGATGTAATCATTAAATACAAAACGTATTTTGAATGATTATTTAGTCGATTCGATTACAAATATCTTAGTAAATTTGAAAATAGTGGTAAAATTGATGTTCATCATCACAAGTTGAAATGCTATTTATTTTAATTGGGACATCTTCAACTTATATCAACAAGTTTCTCTCTCTTTAGACAGCAAAGAAATAATTTTCAATTTGTTTTCTCCTTTGAAGATCGATGATGAATATAACTCTTAATTGATTTCGTATTTGTGTCTCCCATGAAATTCTTTGATACATGACGATGTAGTAGCTGTTGATAATATAGATCATCCAAATAGGATTGATGTTCAAAATGAAATCAGTCGATTTTTCTTGAAAATATCTTTACTTAATATCAAATGGCCTTTTGACAATGAAATGCGAATGATGCAAAATCAAATGAAATTTTAGATTGTTACAACAGATTGTAGATGTAATATAAGTTGAAACCATAGATAAAAGAAGAAATGAATGTTTTCATTTTGTATCTTTTTCTTAACATGACAACAAATTATTTTTAGCTGTACTCTACTATATTGAATTATTTGGTTAACATTATTATTTTGTTAATGAAAGACGAGAAATTAGAAATAGATTATTTTAAGTATTATTGTATCCATCTTGCAATTGAAAATCTGTCGAAATAATGGATAATCATAAACTTAATACAACGTATATGGATGATATATTCGAATGTTATATCGAATCAGATTGACTATGATACATAGACTTTGTAAATCGTCAAAATATTTAATAGAATTTTCAATAAAATGAATTGTACTTCATTTCTATCTTTGTCATCTAAACTAATGTTGAGAATCGATGAACTGAGGGGTACTCCTTCCAAATCTTGAAATATTTTTGTTTTTCTCCACTGGAGTGCCAGCGTTTTATTGATTTGTGATTCACTTATCTCCAAAATTCTGTCAACTTCAGATAAGATTTTCCAATCTCCATTCTGAGTCATCGAACCTTTTTCCCAATCCTGGACACCTTAGGACACTTATGAGTGCATGAACTTGATCCATACCGCTTATTCATCTCATTTAAGCATTATATTTTCATAATAAACAATAAAGAGCATGCACAAAATATGGGTGATAGATGAATTTACCTTGACAAGCAACTATATTGATGTCTGTCAACATATTTGATTTGATGTGACCAATATTGAACATTGAGTCATGTAATTGATAACAAAATGATTTTGAAAACATTGAGAAGTTCTTAATGGAATTCATATCTGTGTATAATGCTGACAATCTAAATATATCATTCAAAGTTTCTTTAGTTTTTTGTACAAACTAATTTTTTTATTTATTAATTTTAAAAAAGCAGTAATTACTGTCTTTTAAAAAGTTATCAAACGAGTTTAAATACTTCATTGAATCGTAAACTTCGATTTGATTTGATACTAATAATTGACTTGGTAGAGTTATGCAGAATAAACGAATTTTTTTCCTGACTTATTTGTTTCTGATAAAGATTTTATTCGATAACTAACCGAAATAAAAATAAATTTAATGAATAATAAAAACATTCACTTTTTGATTCTTAGGCAGTATTTAATGCTTAGGTTTTTCATATTTGAAATAGACAATAATAATGGATAACCCATAAAGAATTATACTGTTCGTATTTTTGAATTTTGTCTTCTATTATCTCTTTGATTGAAACACTTTTTTAAAGTAAAAGATAGCACATGAAATTCTGCACAAAATGATATAACTCATTTTATGGATATAAGTATCTCCATTTTTTTAATTAAACCTAATCATACAGTACAATCGAGTACAGATATGTAAAATTTTTTCTTTTTCAATTTTTTTGACAGAGCTTTTTATTTCGTTGACCAATGTTGCCATTCTTTTTATGTCATCTGAATTCATAGCTACTGCTAGTTCATTCCATTCACTATGATCTAATGGAGATAAAGAAGGAGAAGCTGATGGCCAACGGTTCTTCGTGATGAATTCAGGAAAATAATTAGCATACCATTTTTTGGTCATTTAATGTATGTGAGATTTTATACCGTCTTCCTAATATTTTCAATTGTTTTCTAAAATTTTCTTGCCGAATTTTAGAGCTACTTGAAGAACGTCATTGATGTATTTGTCAGCATCCATTGTTTCATCTTCCAAAATCACCGACATTGTCAACCCTTGTTCACATATACCGATCCACATCATTACTTTTACCGGAAATTTGGTTTTTACATGAGCAGCACCTTTCTTGTCTGTCAGTCTTGCCTCTGTTCACAGCTCACATTTCGTCATTCTGGACATTGTAATTAGTTTATAGAGTGAACTAACTGAAGCTATGAATTGGGACTACATTACAACAAAGACAAGATTAATAAAGTGCTCTGTCAAATAAATTGAAAAAGAAACAATTTTACATTCTATATTTAGTTTTACTGTACGATTTCTTGTAATCTAAAAAAAGATGAAAGAAACCATATTCGTTAAATAAATCATATCACTTTGTGCAGAGTTTCAGATGCTATATTTTGATTTAGAAAAAGTGTTTCAATCAAGAGGATCATAGAAGAAAAAATTCCAAAAATACTAATAGTATAATTTTTTTAGGTCGCCTTTAATTTACCAAAAAGAAATTTATTTAGCTGATTTTAAAATAAAAAAAAATTGAGAAAATTTTTTCGTTAAAGTATCAAATTCATATTTATTTTTACATGATTCACATATGTTTATATATAATGTTAAACATTTTATAAAGATCATGTTGCTTTAAAAATTTCTTATGAATAACAAATTTCGGAACATAAACATGATAATTACTAAAGATAAATATTGCAACATTGCAAATAGTATATCGTTAGATCGAACTCGTTGAAATTATTATAGACAAAATCGATTTACTTTATTTTTCGAGGCCTTACTCGAATTCATTTTAGTTGATCAACATAGTTAAAACATGAAAGGATAAATTTATGACACCTAAACATTCTATAATTCTTTTCATCTAAATCAAAACTTTGTTAAGCAAACTTTTGTAGGAGCTTTACATTAAAAAACCGTTTTTTCATGTTTCTACTACATTTCGATCATATTTTTCAAAAAAACATTCGACTTTACTTATAAATGTAGATAAAGCATAATTGTATGTCCACAAAAGAAAAATATTTTTCTCTTGCACTATTCAACAGTCTAATAGCTATCCATCGTAATTCCATTAAATGCATCGACAGCTTATTCACATAGAATCACAAATCACATTTCGAACCTAACCAAACAAGAATTGGAAAAAAAGGTACATATTTTCGTTTCGTTTTGTTCCCAATACTTGTTTATATTGCAATGACAACAAACGTCCAACCAGTTTGTCGAGTGTTCTCTTAAAGAAAGACTGTATGTCAATTCAAACATGCCGACAAGTGTTCAAACATTGGCCACCTATATTCCTCGAGCGATTTTATCATTCGATGAGAATGTAAGAGATCTATTGTTCACACCGTGAATTTATACATGTATGGATATAAATCTAAACTATCTAGACGATCAATGAAGCACCTCGAACAGTAAAAGATATAACAACTGATGTCCAACAGCTTGTGAATGTTACTTCTAAGTTAGTAAAGACCAAAATAATGTTTTTCCTAGGAATTTTATAGTAGTTTTTCTTGTACTCTAATACTGACCTAGTTCTATTTTAGACAGATGATAATCAAGACATTCTCAAAAGCAATCTTTTGAAATTCTTATCTATAAACGATTTATGGAACGTTCGATAATTAAAATGAACGGATTCATATATCTTTCAATAGTAACTACATACAAAATACTCTTCTTCTTCGTTTCTTCTTGATGATTTCCAAAAAGAATCTGAAAATATTTCGATTAATACAAAAATATACTCTTAAGAATAATTCATTTTTTTTTAGTAGAAACAAAAATTTTAGCAGCAATAACAAAAGTAATCGTTATTTTATTATAATGATGCAGCTTTCTAAAAATTTGAAAAAGATGTTTTTTCTAAGCCTACAGTTTTGCTAGGGCTGGACTATCCACAACGGCTAAAACGCTCATTGTTACTGGGGTTGTGATTGGAGCTGCGATTGTAATTGCTGCTGGCGTAACATTAGGTATCATACTGAGTGCCACTACAACAAGTGAGTTTAAAAATTTGTTTTATTCAATAAAAGTAACAACTAATTTTAAAAAACAAACGAACGATAAGTAAAGCAGCAATTCTTTTGTAATCACTGTCTCAATAACTTCGAAGCAATCTATTAGATGTCTTGATCATTCATATTCAAATCTACACTAAAATAGTGCGTAAAATTGTGTGAAGATTTTAAGATCAAAGCTTTATTACACATAATAGACAATGCAAACTTACAAGGGAACGTTTCCAGGTGTCGGAACACTTTTCAGTCGGAGTTTCGCGCATGTTGTAGTCCTTAATGAACTATGTCTACCATTAAAAAAAGTTCGGATTTCTGGGATGTTCCTGCCGAGATATCGAGTTTTTAGTAAATTTTCTCGATTGTACCCCCTTTGCAGCAAAGTCATATTTTTTGAATTTTCACCTGAAACTTTGCCTACATAAAAGTCTCAGCTAGGCTAGCTTCTATAAAAAATTTCAGAACTTCGACAAAGTCTCTCCGAGATACGAAGCTTTCAAAAACTGCATACTATATATATTATTTATGAAAAAGGACATGTATCTTAATAGTTCCATATCTCGAAGAGACTTTGTCCACGAGTTCTGAAATTTGTTATGCAAGCTAGCTTAGCTGAGACCTTTTCGTAGGCGTAGTTTCAGATCAAAATTCAAAAATATGACTTTGCTGCAAAGTGGGCACAATAGAGAAAATTTACTAAAAACTCAATATCTCAACAGGAACACGCCAGAAACCCGAACTTTTTTTTATGGTAGACATAGTCCACTAAGGACTACAAGATGCGCGAAAATCCGACTGAAAAGCGTTTCGACACCTGGGAATATTCCCTTATTAGTTGAAGTTAAAAGTTGAAACAATTAGTATCGTAAGAATCGATAGACTTATTGCGAACAGAAATGTAAACCATTCTACTCAGGAGTTTCATCGTTGTTTTTCTGTATTCTATTTATTGAAAACTAGAAAATAAATGTTTCTGTATATAAAGTTAAGATTCTTATTTAAAAATATCTATTTTCTATTATACTTCTCTTTCTTTTTCAATATTAGCGACAACTACTTCCACAACCAGTTCGACATCCACTTCGACTACTACTACGCAGACAACATCAAGTAAGTTTAACATGCAAAGTTTTATCTGAAAACAAAAAGTCACGAGGACATTTTTTGGGGGATTTATTAGATCTTTTTAAAGCTTCGAGATATTTTTTCCTATATTATGGAAGTACGATATATTTTATAAGATTAATCTAATTACATTTCAATATAAATTAATTTATCGTTGGATTATTTTTTTTTTCAGTAAATTTATTCTTAAAACATTATTGTATCATAGAGGTTGTCATATAACCTCCTTAACATCAAATAATTCGTCAGTTGATCTAGTTTAGATATGCATAAATATCAATTGATATTCCTCTGCATCTAACTCCCTAATACGAGAATTGGTCCATCAGCAGATCGATTTATATCGATAATTACTGTTCTAATATTTTTATAACTAAATTACAAAACCGAATGTCTCCAGAGTTAGAGCGATGACTTCTTAGTTCATATATATGAGGTTCGAATCCTTATTTAGTTCACATTTCTTTTTAATACTAAGGATCCTCTTTTGATTAATATGTCATAAAAAGATCTTTATTGCAACCCCTATGAATACATTCTGCCACATAATACGGAATAACTATATCCTTCTGGATCTATTTCGAATATATTATTTTGTCAGCAAATTTATTATACGAATCTTCCACACCCATATCCTTAAGTCCTAATGAATTCCTAAAAATTAAATGCTGAAAGCTGGTGACAATTATTTACCTGAACAATGATCATTTGAATTACATGTTCTAATAACAGATAAGCATTAGAAATGTTAAAAAACACTACTGTACATAGTTTTTATATCACGATAAAAATTAAAAATTCTCCATGCTATGACAGTAAAACATGACAAAAATCAGCAAATATAAATATTGTGAGTCAATAGTAATCATTCATTGTTCGTTGTTTTCATCTTTACTAATCAAATCAATAGATCAAAGTGTTTATAAATCATACATTTATGTGACTAAAACTATAAGCCATTAGACACTTGTGTTAGTAACTGGTTTTAGGCTTTACTTTTGTTCATTTATTGTCATGAATATTAAAGCATCTTTCTAATATTAAAAACTCGCTATATACATAAAACTGGAAAAAAAAGTTGTAGTTCTTTCTTCGTATTGTATGTGCATGATCAAATCTTCATTTCTAGCTACAACAACTGCTATGGCTGCGCCCTCAAATCTCTTTAGTTATCGAGCCAATACTGGTCAAAGTTACGTTTTTGTTTTGACGGGATCTCGCAGTGGTAGTATATGGGGTACAAATATATATACGGATGATTCGAATCTTGCCACAGCTGCTGTACATTCAGGTTTTGTTCAGTACAATCAAACAAGTGTAGTCACCGTCAGAATATTAGCTGCTCAAAGTAGTTATACCAGTACTACTCAAAATGGTGTGACTTCTTTTGCATATGGTTATTGGGGTGGCAGTTACTCTTTCATTAGTGCTACTGGATGATAATAACTTGTTTTTTTTGTATCAAATACTCTTCAAATAAACACTAATACGTTAATGCTAATTGCTAATCCACAATCTCAAAACAAATTTAAGTTATGAATAATGTTTCATGTCTCTTTTGTCGTTTTTTTTGTTTCCTATGCCATTATCGTTATCTGTGTAAAAAGATGAAAGAGTCAGCAGACAACTGAGAAAACATCATTGGATATTTCAGAATAAAATGACAAACAAAGATAAACTTTTCAATCCCTTCAAAGATGAGTAAGAGTGATGCATGCGTGGTAACTGACTGATAAAATTGTAACCAGTGTACACGTTTCTTTTTCTTTTATGTCTGTTATTAAAAAAAAAATAATCAATTTTCATTAGTTGTCATTATGTCCTTCGACAGAACGGAGTGTGGTATTTCACAACATGATGTAAGTCAAACTTTCATCTTTGCATGTTTATAATAACTTATTCTTATCGCTGCAAACGAGTCAGTCTTGCAAAATTCAGTAGTGTCAAACTTGAAACTTGAATTCAATTGAAATTTCAACTTTCAAGTTTCAAGTTTCAACTTTCTACTTTCAACTTTCAAGTCGTTTCGCGACCGATCCTTTTCTGGGCAGTCCTTTCGCGGCACCCACACCAGCTGCGATGTGATATGTGTCGTTTCGTCGCCAGTCCTTTCGCCGCACCCACACCAGCTGCGATGATGTGTGTGTGAGAATGTGGGTTAGTGGTAATTCTTCACAGTGCTGCCCATTTGAGGCTTGAAAGTTGAAAGTTGAAAGTTGAAAGTTGAAACTTCAATTGAATTCAACTTTCAAGTTCGACATATATGGCAAAATTATGATAACCATCTATTTAAATCTGATATTCTTCAGTCTTAAACAAGCATAATAGTACAATATGGCGAACACAAACTGGAAATAACCTGATAGCATTGTAGTATACCATTTTTTAAGAAGGTAAAATTTGAATTACTATTGCCAATCAGACAAAAAAAACAGTTCAATAACATTCATCTGTTTGAGACAAAGAGACTAATGTTTATAATCACGGAAAAGTACTCGATAGTGAGCCGATCAAGTATTTTTACCATAGATTTTGTTTTCTTCTCAGTCTGATCCCGATAATGTAAAGACTATAAATGTAAGTCATTAAGGAAACAATCCTAACAAAAAATTTTCCGTAGTCGATTTCAAAATTTTATTCACTCGAATATTTATATTTGCTTCTGTTAATTTTGTTGTGTTTATGTATCACTCATTTGTTCTTTGATATTTGATAAATTCGTACGTAGAGGAAAAAAATTTGTTTGAAACATGTCGAGTGTACGATATATTGCCCGTTGATTACTGGGTAGGTATAGCTTTGGGTACGCGTGATAAGATGAGAATACTCACACGAACACACACTGTTGAACTGAAATATTTTCAACGTTTACCAAAAATTTAGATAGCCATCTTTCTTTGTCTTTTGTTCATGTATTTATTGATTTTGATTCTGTTCTGACAAAACATTGCTTGTCGCAATGGTTATTCATTTCTCTTTGTTCAAATAATCAACGAAAACTAAATCCTAAGACAAGAAAATGATTAATTACGCACTTATTTTTATTTAATTAATGAACAGTAAATCGATATATTTATCTATTGAAGGATAGTTATTTGATTGTTTTATTTTAGAATAATGTCTTCAATCATATGTAATGTTCCTGTCGATGTATCAGTTCCTCCACGATTTATCGTTAATCTTGATTTACCTCCAATGTTGAGATGGCAATATATTCTACGTCTATATATAGATCAACTTCGTGAAGTTGAAAAAAAGATTGAATCAATGGTGAATAAAATTGTTGGTCAATGGATAGGTCCTATGCTTGAAAGTGTTCTATCAACAATCATGGCTGGAATAACTCAATTAGGGCTTGTTTATTATGGACAAGAATTGAAAGGTATCTCACATACGACTGGAATACCATTGGGCAAATTAGTAATGATGCAATTTGTTTATGAATGTGTTTCATGTTGTACATCAATTATATGTCAAGATGAAGAAACTAATACTCCAATGCATATTAGAAGCATGGATTGGGGACTTGATGTTTTGAAACAATTGACTATCGGTATATATATATATATATATCTTCAAATCATTTTAAAAACCTTAGTTACTTTTCGAATCAGAGCATCTTTTATTTGTCGACGTTTTTTTTTGTGTATTTAGATGTTGATTTTCAAAGAAATGGTCAAACAGTTTTTAAAGCAACAACATGGATTGGTTATGTGGGAATTTTAACAGGAATGAGAGTTGAAAACGGCTATTCTGTATCGGTTAATTTTCGACATACAGGCGGACAACTGACAACGAATCTCAAAACGGCTTTAGCAAGGTAAAATTATGAAAGATGCCAAAAAAATGAGATGCTTGTTCTTTGTTTTTCAGAATTTGAGAAGATTTCTAGAACCTTCAATCTCAAATAAAAATCAGACAAATGAAAGTACCTTAACAATATACAACTGTTGTAGTGCCCATTTCTTCAGATACGATCACTTTTGTTGACAAAATATTTAGAAATATCAGAATTTTCTGTGCTCTCTTGAAAATAATTTCGACAACTAACAGTGGGTCATTTTCAGGTGCTCATTCGCTTTTGAGTCAGGACTTTGAGCATCTTGTAGACCTTGATGAATAATGTCTACCATAAAAAAATTTTGTGTCCCTAGCTTGTTTCTAAGAAGGTCAAATGTCTCTACTATTACAGTCATGAGAGACATTCTATCAGAAAAAATCATCATCGCGACTAATATAAATTGAAATGAGCTGAGATTTTCGTTATGTATATTTGTACTCATGTGGTATATCATGAGAAAATTTGAGCCCAAATGACCTTATAAAGACAAGTCATCTCAAATATTAATGTANAAACAAGAAGGTTGACTTACCTATCACAAAGATAAGTAAAGAGAACTAGGTTATGTTTTAGTCCGCGGTCTAATTGATCCACGTTTAGAGCTCTATCTTCCGATCACAGTGATGATGCTTCGAGATTTTCTGGGGTGGAGAACTCGAATCTGCACTCCATTTTCATCGAAATCCTATTGGTTGAGGGGTAGCCAATAGAAATCAAGTGATAGAAAAAAACGACTTTCTTAGCGTAGATCAAGACGACGAGTTCGAGTCTGAGCTGTATTCGCCTCCAAGTCATATTGGGTGAGCAATAGCCAACAAAGTCAAGTGTTTATAGGAAAGATTTGCCAGGATAATTTTGATGTCCACACATTCTAGGATGACTCATCTGTCTAATTCACTTTTTGAAGTACACATAACTCTCGGATTTAAATCCGAGGTTTCCACATTTATTTACAGATACTAGCGGGTGTGGGTGGGTGGATGTGGGTATTAAGACACGTTCCTCGAGAAAATCAAAAAATTTCACAGATCGAAAAACATGGGGGTCAACCGATTTTGGATTTGATCCCCTAGGAATTTCAGGCCTTATCTCCCATAGATGGACCCAAAATATTACGGTCTAAAGATTTACCTCTGGTTCGCCAGGGCTGTCGGATCACAGGGACCCTCAAAAATAGGGCAAAAAAGCATGAAAAATTGACCTATACTTTTTTTGAAATTTTTCGGTTACAAATTTTTCAGTGTTCAAATGAAGTCATATACCAATCGATAGAGCTTGACTTGCTCTACAAAATGGTATATATTACATTTATTCTCAGTCTCGATATTGAAGGCAAAAAGTCAAAAACCAACGTTTTTTTTGCATATACGATTTCATGGCTTTTTCAGTATTTTGACCAAATACCTAGGTCAGAAAACGATCACCAAAAATAGTTATACACCATTTTGTAGCCCATTTAATTCTGCATCGAATCATATATAGAACATTATTTAAAAACGTTCTAACGGTGAAATAGCTAAGCTAGAATATTCTCCTCTCAATGCAATTAAATGTAACTTCATATTCATATTTGTGAATTTTTTTTCTTAAAATTTTTCACTATTCAAATTGAACCATATACCAATCGATAGAGCTTGACTTGCTCTACAAAATAGTATATGTGATATTTCTTCTCAGCCTCGATATTGAAGTCAAAATGTCAAAATACTGCATTTTTTGGCATAATATACTTTTTCCCCCGATATTCTGATGAAATGTCTGTATCAAAAGATGAATGCCAAAACAGAAATAGCATAATCTTATAGCCCGTTTAATTCTGCATTGAATAATGTATTTCATATTGTTTCAAGATTTTCTACAGCTGAGTCACTAAGACTCAAATATTAAGAACTGACATCATAGTTATGGTCCTTCAAGAAAAGCATTCTTTTTTATATATTTTCCAATTTTGTCTATGTATTTCAATCAGGCATAGAATATGATATTTTAATCATTGTGAATTGACTCAAACTACTTTTTTTATAGCCTAAACAAACTCCATAAAACTATCGCTTGAGTTCGAGAACTCATTATACACTGTTATAATAGGATGAAAAATCATGGAATATGCGGACAATTGAATCAGATAATGTAAGATGGTGCGGGTGTGGATGTGGGTGTAGGTGTGTGGGTGTGGGTGTTGTGTGGGTGTGGATAATTAGAATGGTGACACCCACACCGAGACCAACACACCCAGCCACCCACACCCACACCTAATTTTTCCTGTTATATGAGGTACAAATCGCATAGATCGAGATTTTCGTCTACTGACTTCAGATCACATTGAAACTGAAAATAAATATGACCATTCGACTCAGCATGGTTGATTACCCATATTTTGACGTATTTGGTGACGATCCAAGGCCAGTTGTTGAAAATCCTAGGTTTCTGGAAAACCTCGAGATCTTTCGAACCTAATGGTCTAGAGATCTCGGACTTGGGTAGAACGATTGAAAAAAATGTGGGCTATCAATTGACATCATCAGAATTATAAGTATAATGGAAATTTAGGAAACCTTGGGTTTCAGAAAAACCAAGTCTCTAGAAAACCATAATAAGGTCGCTAAAATACCATGTTACTTAAATGTTTAGATAGACCCGACATTTCTCTTTCGAATGGCGCAAACCGCAGCTCTCTATCGCATTCCATTCAAAAGTTATTCAAAAATACTAAGGTCTCTTATATTTTGAAACCGATATTAATTATGATGGCCTTGATCAATTGATATGCACTATACAAAACAAGAAAATATTATTAAGAATCGTATTCGTACTGTATGATGAATCTTATCGATGATTAAAAAAATAAAGCAAAAAAGCTGAATAAGATGAAAATCAACCAGCATAGTTATGAAAAATTAAACCAGTGTTTTGAATGCAATTCAAGTAAACGACACCAAATATTCATTACAAAACTTCAAATAAGGTTTTTATTCTTTTTCCTCTCCAACGACACTGTTCGATAGTTATTGCGCAATACTTTCGTTAGTTACGGGTGACAAGTGCAAACACATGATTTTTCGATCGTAAACGCAATGTTTTTTTCTTCTTCTAATAGCTTAAAACTATGGAATTTCTTCCTGATGAACTTCTCATAATTATCTTTCGTTATCTGCACAGATTCGATCTGATCTACTCATTTGACAATTTAAATCAACGTTTTCAGCGTATCATCGAACCTTATCTCAATTGTATTGATCTTATTCGAGAAAATCCTTCATTTAAACTCTTTTTACATTTTTCCAAACATATTCTTCCTGTATATGGTCATAAAATTCGCGAACTTAAACTTCCTGCCGAATGTACATATCATCTATTATCATCTTATGTTCAATATTTAACTAATCTAGAATCTTTGACATGGAATTCATGCACACTTCGGCATGATTCACAGTGTTCTCTACAAAAACAGATTCTCAGTAAAATTCTAAAAATGAATTCTATTTCGAAACTTTCAACATCTACTCTGTCATATGCTCTGGCTTCACTTGTTACTTCTTTCGCTTCAAAGAACTTGACGACATTAATTGTACTAGATGAAAGTACTTTGAAATATCGTTATGAAAGTTGGAAGGGCATTGCTCACAATCTCTATTCTTATTATGATACAATACAAATGCACGGTATCAAATTCTTTTCGATGACTCTACGTGAATTCGATTCAACAACGTTAACCTTCATTTGCGATTTTTTTCCAAATCTTGAAGGATTAAAATTATCAATATCGGAAATTCGATTCGATCCATCAGACAACCTTTATAAGATATCAGTACCGAGAACTCTGGAAAGTTTATACTTAGAATTTAAACAAAAAAATGAACTAAGCTGTAAAATATTAAAGAAGAAATTTCTCGATGTGTTCAATAATCAACTTCGATCATTGACTTTAATTATAACCAATGCTGCAAGGGAATTTTTTGATTATGAAAAATGCAATGGACTGATGAGTGATTGTGCTCGACTCGAAACATTTCAATATTACATTCGTTCACATTTTCAACCTGATTCACGCTTTCCGAATGTTGAATGTCTTTTGGACTCAACCTACATTGTCTTTACTTTACCTCTATTATGTGCGTCATGTCCAGTCTCTGAAATACAACGAATCGTAGACTTTTACGAAAATATTACTGTGGAAAATTTACTAAACTGTGATTCACTTTTCATCGACACTAGAAATATTCCACAAACGATGTTTCAAATATACAACATCGATAGACTTCTTCACCTAAATACATTAAAATTTAATTTTTTTGAGAAGTCTTCAAAGCCTGAAGAGTATCAGTTTTTGTCAAGACTCATTTCTCTGTCACCAAATCTTAATACGTTATTCATCTATGATTCTGATTCGAAAATCATTATTGAACAATTGAAAAATATTCTTCCGAAAAAATCTTCAAATAAAATTATTTACTGCTATATTGAAGAATCTCTAAAGTGTGGTGATAGCCATGTTTGGACGCCAAATACAACCAAATATCATGCAGCATTCTTTTATGAACTATCACAAATCTTATCTAACCTCAATATACTCGGATTTCAATCTGACGAACAATTTGCTGAAGAGTATTTAACAGTATTCACTACATTTGTTAAGGATATAAAAAGTTATTTTCCTCGATTGACGCACTTAAAATTAGAAGTTGTTGAAGGCAAGGATAGTATGTTTAATAATTATAAAAAAGACTTAGACGAATGCGATTGGTTAAACTACACAACTCAATTGAAATACTATCAAGATTATGATGGTTGGGTGTATAACGTACCCGAGTTTGACATTTGGTTCTAATCGAAAATTATAGCGAATATTTACATAAAATTGCTATTATCAACTGCCCTACATTTTATGTATGACATAAAAAACTTTTTTATTATTTATTTTCTAAGTTCACATATTTTAATCTCTATTTGCCCCTTGAGGGTGTGGGTGTGGGTATGGGTGTGGGTGTTGGTGTAATTGTCAAATAAGCCAATATTGCTTAGCACACCCACACCCACACACCCACACCCTGAAATATGTATTTGTATGTATTTTAGTTTTCTTTCCATTTTGCACATTTGTGATTGCTCCATCTATGCTAAAAGAAAAAAATAAAAGAGTCACGAGGCAACCGAACAAACATGAAGTAACGAAAAAAAATTATTAAAATGTAAATGTCTGCAAGACTGAGTAAGAATGATACACACGTTGTAACTGACTCATATAAAGCTGTCACCCATGTACTCATTTGTTTTTGTTCTCTGCTCGCTTTAAAGACAATATTAGTCAGTATTTATTATTTGTCATCATATTATTCAACGAAGCAACAAGTGATATTTTACAATATGATGCAAGTCACCCATTCATCATAACACGTTTATTATATTTTTTCCTTATCATTGCTAGAAAGTCAATATTACAAAATCATGTTAACTATCTATTTAAGCCTGATGTCATTCGAATTTAGACAAGCAAAATAATACTTTGTGGTCAACAGAAACCAAGAATACTTTAGTACAATTGTGGTGTAGCAATTTTTAATCAGGTAAGGCTTGTATTATTACAATCAGACTGACAAAAAAAAATTATCTCAATGAAATATATCTGGCAATGAAAAAGAGACTAATATTTATAATAATTAATAAGTATTCACTTGATGATTGATCAAATAATTCTGCCAGTTTTTGTTCTTTTCACAGTTTAACTGCAATAACGTAAAAACTATAAATATAAGTCACTAAGAGAACCATCCTAACAAAATAATGACTGGTAGTTGATTTCAAAATTTGATTAATGTACATATTCATATTCAATAGTATTTATTTTTTTTATTTATGTAGGACTCTTCTGTTCTTTCATATTCGATCGATATTCTACATACGGAGAATTTTTTTGAAACCTTTCGAGTACACAATTCAGTGTTCGTTAATAAATCATTAATTAATATTTCCGATAAGCTTATGACCCATTGGGACCAGTGCTATAGAGTCCACATAAGCAGTCAGGTTCTTTCATTTTTTCCATTTTACGGACGATGGCATCTATATTCCTACCGACCAACATTTCCCCCGTTTATGAATTTCAGGTTGGTATTCAATATATGAATCACAAGATTGTGGTATCTATGTTCAGGTTTTAGTTTTATTCTGCATATTGATCAGTGACGTAATCAACTCACTATTGAATGAGCTATCTGAAAGACCTAGCCATTAATGACTTACTCAGAGTCATTCCATGGATAATGCTACTGAAGTTTGAAAACAGTACCTTGTACGTATGTGTCGAACAATGTAACCACTCAATCATGGCAGTTAGTGTCCTTTAATAAATAAGATTATGTATTGTGATAGGAAGATTCACATTTATTCTGTTGAACTGTAATAATCTCAACATTCATCGAAAAGTTAAGTAACTGTCAATCTTTATTTTTCTTCATATGACTATTTACTGTGTTTATTATCATTCTAAGAATACGTTGATCATCATCAGCCACTGTTAGTTTCTTTATTTCAGAATAATGTCTTCATTCATATGTAATGTTCCATGGGATGTATCTGTTCCTCCACGATTCATTGTTAATCTCGATTTACCTCCAATGATAAGATGGCAACATATCGTACGTCTATATATAGATCAACTTCATCAAGTTGAAAAAAAGATTGAATCCATGATCAATGCAATAATTGGTCAATGGCTAGGTCCTATGTGTGAAAATGTTCTATCAACAATCATGGCTGGTATAACACGATTAGGGCTAGTTTATTATGGACAAGAATTAAAAGGCATCTCACATGATACAGGAATACCATTAGGCAAATTAGTAATGATGCAATTTGTTTATGAATGTTTTGCATGTTGTACATCAATTGTATGTCAAAATAAAGAAACTAATATTCCAATGCATATTAGAACGATGGATTGGGAATTTGATTTTTTAAAACAATTGACAATTGGTGCGTACAAATATATCTTTAAGATATCATAGAATCTTATTTAAAATCTCGAATTAGATCATCTTTTATTTATCAATAAATTTCTTTTTTATTGTGTATACTAGATGTTGATTTGCAGAGAAATGGCCAATCAGTTTTTAAAGCAACAACATGGGTTGGTTATGTGGGAATTTTAACAGGAATGAGAGTTAAAAATGGTTATTCTGTATCAGTTAATTTTCGTCATACAGGTGGACAATTAACAACAAATCTCAAAACTGCCTTAGCAAGGTAAAATTATACAAGATGTCTTAATATTTGAGACACTTCTTCAGTCTTTTTTTTCAAAGCTGTAGAAAATTTCTAGAAACTTCAATATGAGATAGAAATCAGACAGAACTTTCCATTTTACGAGAATACACATCGATTAATTAAAAAAAAACACGAAATGAAAAGAGTTACACATATGGGTACAACTCTTCGTCATACAAATGATTCTCATCATGACCAAACATTTTTTTATTTCGAAAGAAAATATTTTTCATACGAAACCTATCGACATTTACATTCGAAGATAAAGTATAAACTTATCCATTCTGGTGAAATATTATAAATTTTCGTTCGAAAATAGATGTAAACGAGAATCTTATTTTGTGATAAAATTCTTTTTCATATTGACGAATTTCCAAAAAAATCAGATATATTTATCAATTCAATTTATTTATATTCTAGCACAAAATACGTGTACAGATACGGTCGATCCGACAAAAAACCCCACTGAAATTGAACATATTTAAGTGAATGCATAAAAACTTCAGAAAGATGTCACAAGATATTAGACGGTTTTCAATTGAAATGGATGAAAGGACTTCTTCCTTCTCTTAAAATGTGTAACTTTCTCTGAGTTCTTTTGCAAAATTGTAGTAACTTGAGACAGAACATAGATTTTTTGGAAAAAATAAACAGATAATATCTTTTTGAAGTGAATAGAAATGAGAAAGAACAACCTAGTGGGACACTCTCTTTTATAAGTAGGATCAAGTCGCAGTAGATTTTGTTCTTGCTGAAATAAAAACGCTTTATCAGTGTTTTTGACTAAGAAGATTATAATTTTTTTAGAACACAAAAGGTTCTTTATCATTTTTATTTACGAATAATTTATTCTAGAAATCTGAAAAAAATTTTTTAGTGGATGGCCAATTGGTTTTCTTGTTCGTGAAATATTAGAATCAACAGACAAATATGAATTAGCAGTTGAACAACTAGCACAATCTTCAATAATTGCACCATGTTATTTTACTATATGTGGAACAAGTCAAAATAAGACTTTAGGAACTTTACTAACTCGCAAGCAATCATTAGAAGAAAACAGGTCAAGCAAAGTGAAAATATGTATTAGTGATCAAATTTTTTTTCTTTTTATTTTGAAGACAAACAGTTTCTGAACATGGTTCAATCATACAGACCAATATGGATCATTGGAGTTTAGAAAGAGATGAAGATATTTTATATTCGATATTACGTCGAGCTGTGTCCAAACGTTTGTTGAATCAAATGACAGAAGTCAATGAATATGAATTGTGGAAGGTAATAAGACGTTAATTCAACCAATAGCATGGGAATTATCAGCTTATTTTTTTGATACATAGTCAAAAAATAATTTTAACACCAAAAAAGGAATTCGAATCTATAAAAAAATGAATTCTCTTTGTGTGTTTTCTTTTTCATATAAAATGTCTATCGTAGGGTTTGATTCTATTGAAGTTATTTTTATATAAATCTTCTAAATAATTCGAAAAACCCATCTGTCAGTAGTGATTAGTTTATTAAAGGATTTCACATCAACTATTGGACAATAGAAAACAAGTTTTACTATAACAGATCACTAAATATAAATTTATATAAGTATTGTTTACAGCAGAAATTTAAATCAGGAAATTACGTACATTCTTTTCCATTATCTGCTTAAGGATATAATCATATATGGTCATAGCCAGCTAACGATCACCTTCATATTTGAAGGTTTGAACTCAGAAAAGTGAAAGAAAACTACCTCTGCTATCTTGAGTGTACTATCGTTAGATTCCCAAATATGTTGTAAACTGTGAGATACTTTATTGGTGAGTGAGAGACGCCCTACCTTTGTTTCATTATAAATCTAAAAATCAAATTTATTGACTAATTTCACCAAACACGCATGATTTTGAATTTTGTTTAATTGCATTTTTGTGTGAAAAATGGTCAACAGTTTTTATATGCTTTCGTCGTGAGAATAAAATTTAATTGCTAAAACAAAAAAAACTTTCTTTTGTACGACTTGTTGATCAGGAAAAAGATACATTTTTCACACAATAATTTCAAAACTTTCAGATTCTCAAGTAACGAACAGTAGTTTTTAGTCTTTTTTTCGATGTAGTCATGGCTGTTAATAAGTGACCTGATATTCCGAAAGCTTATGGCAAATTGAATAACGTGTATGTTAAGCGTTTATTTGTATACTGTTTCGTTTCGTAGTAGGATGCTAAATTCTCGCTCACCTTTAAAAAAATTTCCATTTTTTGAAATTGCGTAACGATCATTATTTTTTGAATATCTCGGCTGTGACTAAAGAGAACTTGATGAAACTTTTACTGGTAATAGATCTCAACAATATCTATCTATGATACAAATTACAGAGAGCTCCCATTTGACCTTAATGATGTATAAATGATGCATTGTGAAAAAAAAGTGAAATTCCGTAACGCTTGGCCATGTCCATATATTACTTTAATGTTATATCTACGTATGTTATTCAATTTATTCTTCGTTTTTTGCTCTTTTTATATGGATTCGAATTTCTTCTAAGAGAAATAAATACAATTGTTCGACCAAGTACTTGTTTTTCTATTTATTAAAAGACAAGATAACTATTAATGCAACACTAAAAAGTATTCTGTGACGTTTTGCAAAATAAGTGGATTATCTCCTGGTTTGTCTTGTTTGCTTTTCTTACTCTCATTTTTTCGTTTCAAAATTGGATAGAATATTAATTTATCATAGATTCATTCAATCTTAAAAACATTTCTGATATTTTACATTTTTTTCTAGTTATTGTCAGAATATCCAATATGCAATGATATAACCATCTATGGAACATTTATGTGTTCACAATATGATATATATCATACACGATATCCTCAAGAAAATCGAAAATTCAATTCTGATGAAAAAGTTCAATTTATCTCATTAACTGATTTAAATGTAAGTCATTTAATGTTTAAAAGAATATTCTACTATATTATGTATAAAATATGATATTTATTCTGTATCTACTTTAAATATTTATAAAGAATGAAACCTACGAGTAATAATATTATTTTTCATATTCTTCATTTAGGATGATTTATATTGGCAATTGTCATCAACTTATGTTTGTTGTAATTGTGGACGTGATTTTGATATTAATGAGAATCCATGTGGTAATTGCGTGCATGCTGGAACATGGCATGCAAGATTTGATGATTGTTCTTATTTAAAATGTGGTTTTCATTTGGGTAAAAAAGCATCGATTGGTATACAGCATTGGTCGTGTTGTTATTCATTAGAAAGTCGATCGAATACATGCAGTCAAAGCAATCCTCATACATTCATTAAACAATAATTAATCAAAATGAAACACTTTTTATTTTTGGTTTATTTGTATATTTAACTAAGCTTCAAGATATTAGCGGAAAAATTTCTTAATACGTAATTCGAATAAAACAAACTTTTCTAGTAAAGGATGATCATTCATATTTATTGAAAAGTTAATCTGTATGTAAAAAGTCTTGACAGAATATATCTAATCACGTGGCATTTATTTATACGGTCAGCTAGAATATGAATGTCATGCTTATTTTAAATATATATTAAGAATATTTTTCTGATTTTAGAGCAGTTCATGAAGAATAAAATGTTGAGAATGCAGAAAATGATGTGAACACAAAATTTTTCGTGTAGTCAGTTTGTTATTTTAATAACCAAAATATTGATCCAAACAATAAAAGAAGCATATTTAAATATTAGGTTGAAGAATGAGGCATAGTATACAAAATACCCAATTTGTTTCTCTTTCGGTATTGTTATAAAAAGTCGAAATCTATAGTATTCTAAATATGAAAAATCGAACGAAATAATTTCGTTTTAAACTTGTTTCATGTTACGAGAAAGTATGGAGAAAATGTATACAGAGCAAGAGAGAATAAACGAGATTCATAGAGTACATACTTCATCTGTACTCCAGTTGTACTGCAATTTTCTTTTGAAGTAGAGTGAGTCTTGCTTTTTTCCCCATGATATCAAATTTGATTTTTTTTACTTCTAGCTTACTGTAATGTATGATTGATTAAAACATGAAATTCTATGTGACATTAGAACGGGGAAACTATTCTTAAAACTCATCTAGAATAATAATGGATAATGGACAAGACTCTATTCTACTTAGTAACAAAAAGTATTGATATTTTTGATTTGTTTACAGTTAACTAATCGTATGCCAGTCAAAAGTTTTGAATATCCATTTGGAAAGAGTATCAAAATCAGATTCTAATTGGCTGTTTATTAATTTCTTCAATAAAATTGAAACTTCCGAAACGCGAGCAAATCTATTTGGCAATATTTCTTAAAATAGTTTGTTTTTATACAACCTTTGACTTTAGCCGTCTTCAAAGACTTCTTTTCAATGGACTTATTTTAAGTCAAAAAAGAACTCTTAATATATAGTTAGAGAGAGGGAAAGTTTGAAATTCTGATTCTAATTGATTGTTCTTGATTTTCCTTACAATGGAAGGGTTTGTATTGATAAGCGAATTGGATGATCCGGTTGTTATCAAAAGATCACTCTCACTGAGAAACTAATAAATCTAAAATATTAGCTGCGTCTGGCGTGTCTGGACCGAGCAGTACAATTTTGAAGTTATGCAGTATTTGGATATCGAAACATGATAATATATGAACTAACCATATCAGCTCTTAATATATTCATCAGATCTGTTCAGGAAATGGGTTTACAAACGCTTGTTGACATTTTTTATCGATACTAAGGCCTGTTTAGATTGAACTTATTCTCGAGTCTAAAAGCACTGGATTAAAATACAAAAACAAATGATTTGCTTGAAAAGTTTGCATTCATAGGATATTCAAAAATTAAGTGCATTAACGCATTTCATAATGATTTATCCTATATTCTCTCGTGATTGGTATTCATAAGTACGAATTATATGTGAATTCGAGGTGACTTCTTTTCATATTTCACACCACAAATAAAGCTTGAAGAGATTAGTCTTATCAATCGAAGAAATGAATCTGGTAAACATTGCGAAACATCTTCTCCATCTAACACAAATGGAATTTGGCTTTGAAGATACAGTACCAAATGATGATGAAGTTTTTGCTTCACAACAATTATTCAAAATTTTAAAAACATGTGAAGATAGTTATTTTAATGAACTACATACTTACCAAACTCTCGATTTTCATGATGAATATGATGAAATGACGGACGAAGACGAAACTACCGATGAAGATGAATCAAATGATGAAGAAGAGAATATTGCCGATTATGATGAAAATCAATCCTTGCAGATTCGAAACAACTTTACGTTGGAAGAAATGCAAGAGATAGTGGAATGGGTTGATCAACATCCGACTCGTAAATTTGCATCTATTAAACAGAGATTCCGAAAAGTCAAATACATGTATTATATCACAAGGTTCAGAGAATATATCGAAACGAACGGCACAAGACTAGAAAAACTGGAAAAGATCAAAGAATTTATGTGGAATGAATTTTATACAAAACGAGCAATTGAAAAACAAGCGATTCATGACAACGATCTGGAGCTTTTTGCAATTCAAAAAGCAAGAGAATTAAACTGGGATAGCTTTAAAGCAAGTAATACATTTATCAAACTATTCAAAAAAGACCATCGAATTTCATCAAGAAGATATAACAAACTTGTTACTCATATTTCTTCAACTAGAAATACTTGTAGTTTGGAAAGTACGTAAAGTTTCTCTTGAAATTCTAATCTATTGGTCTTACTGTGATATATGTATTCTTTCAGATGCTTACGACTGGATTAGAAACCAAAGATCTTTAATTTTGAATTATTATCCTCATGAAATTTTAAATAGTGACCACTGCTCATTTCAACAAGAATATATTTCTCCAAGAACTCTTTCTTTTACCGGTGAAAGAACTACAGAAGTTGTTGTTAAAAAGAAGAATAATGTTACACACTCTTATACTGTGCAGCCAATTACATCGGCTGATGGTCAATTATTAGACAAATTCTTTCTTATTCTACAAGAGAAGGAAAATGAATTTGGTAAAAGAGTAGAGAGAGATTTAATTGTACCACCAAACGTCGTAGTACGCGCTTCAAAGTCTGGAAAAAGCAGTGGTGAAAAACATCGTATTTTTTTAAAAGAAGTTTTACATCCTCTGGTCGGAAGAAAATTTCTACTCTTTCTTGATTATTGGCCAACTCAAACTGATATGAAAAAATTTAGAGCAGTATTTCCACATCAAGACAGTCAACTATTGATCTTTCCTAAAGGAACAACTGGTTTTATTCAACCTCAAGATCTGTCTTTATTTCGTGCATGGCGATTTATTCATAAGAAAATCGAACATTATGTTCATATTAATCGAACCGAAATGAACTTGAATGATCGTCAATACTTCATTAATATGCATTCAGCCATTCACAATCAATTATCTGCTCCACAATTTAAAAACCTCATCAGATCTGGATTCATTCAAGCTAAAATACTCAATCAAACAGTTGGCGAAATTAAGAAACCAAAGGATGTTTGTTTTAAATTCTATGATCTTTATTGCTCAGTTGTTCGTTGTGGTGAACGAACTCTTCTAACTTGTGCTTGGTGTAAAAGACATCTTTGCTATTATCATCTAATCGAAGATCTCCATCTCCATATGTAATACATCTTTTGAAATATTATTTTCTGTACTTTATTACTTTCAGTCAGATAAAGTTGAAAATATGAATGAATGATGCATTGTTGTATATAATAACGAATAATTTCACCATTTAACACGATTGAACTTGAGAATAAGTTCAATCTAAACAGGCCTTAGTATCGATAAAAAATGTCAACAAGCGTTTGTAAACCCATTTCCTGAACAGATCTGATGAATATATTAAGAGCTGATATGGTTAGTTCATATATTATCATGTTTCGATATCCAAATACTGCATAACTTCAAAATTGTACTGCTCGGTCCAGACACGCCAGACGCAGCTAATATTTTAGATTTATTAGTTTCTCAGTGAGAGTGATCTTTTGATAACAACCGGATCATCCAATTCGCTTATCAATACAAACCCTTCCATTGTTAGTGACTTATGAATAGACAAGAATTAATCAGACATGTTGTACAAAGATTTTGTACTAGAGATGTCCACCGGGCAAGAGAGTGTGGGTGTGGGTGTGGGTGTGGGTGTGGGTGTGGGGTGGGGGTGTGGATGTGCATGCGTGTGGGCCTGAGTGTGCCTGTGTCTTGTGTCACAGCTACACCCACACCCACACCCACACCCACGCAGATCCTTCACAATGTGTTGCCACGTATAATCCTTTTACATCAGGAATCGATGGATTTCGCCGTTTTGCGTTTTTTTATAACATCTCTAGTTACGAAATTCTGTGATAATTCCTTTACTCTAATACCTTTCACAGCTGTCGCATTTGTCCCATCATAAGCCGTAGCCAATTCATCTGGAGAATCATTCATACCCAAACAACGTCGATGATCTGTATATTTATCGTCTACTTTAAGCGCATGACGATGCCATCCTTGTGGAAAATAATTTGGCCGACCTTCTCTCGTCTCAGTTTTAGCAGTAGGATAAAAACGGTTGTAATCAGTTTTGCAATCAGATTCTTGCAACTGCAAAAATGTAGGTGCAAGCTCAAGCTTATAGTCGTAATTCAATGAATGTAAGTAATGGAGAGCATTCCCTAATTTTGAAGGCGAAGTCTGCTTCAATGTTTTGTTTTGAATAATTCTGCTATTTTTTGTTTCGTCAGTCCGAGGTGTTGTAAAATCGAGTTTAACAAGTACTATCGAGCTTCGACTTACAGAAAAAACTCCAATGAAACCTAGGGTGTAGATGTGGATGTGAGTGAGAAGTAAAACAGGAATTGCATCCATACCCACCCCTATACTCCCGCCCACACACCCACATACCCACACCCTAGATTTGGCAGACATATAATTTTGTTCCAGCAAAATTTCGCAAAGACATTACTAATTTTGAACTGGGAAATTCATGAAATCGAAGGCAGCTTTCATCTCGAAACCAATGAAAATTGAATGAAAAAAGAAAAATTTACACCTTATAGTATGCATCTTTTGCCTACGGCTCACATATTTCGCCCTTATTTCTTAGCATGCTATGCTGGCCTTTGTGCCTACTGTGTCAAGCTTTTTGCCTTCACCATCAGTTACAGTGCAGAGACACCCACTTAGTGTGTTTTTTTTGCTTGGTGCTTTTTTCAAATTTGAAATCTACCTAATGACCATTAAGCTAAATTATCTAAATAAAATGATATATTTAACTATGTAATTTAACTTTGAATAAAACTATTGAGTTCAACATAAAATTTTTCTATAGCTTTAAAATTAGTTTAATTTGACACAATCTTTCTAACCAAGCTACAATTAAAAATATGTAATACGATAGGAATTCATAGTAGCAGTGTCATTTCTCTGTTGATTAAATTTTAACATCTTGTTTGTGTTACTATTGTTAATATTCTTCTTCTTTTTCTTGATTGATGAGATTGCAAGCACCGAGCTTCCAAACACTATATCCATCTCTTCCAAACTTCTACCTTTTGTTTCGGGATAGAAGAGAAATATCAATATAGTCATACTAATACACAAAATACCGAAAATAAGATAGGTTCCATATGTAATATTTTCTAGAAGGACAGGTACGCCGAAAGAAATGACACAGTTGGCCGCCCAAATAGCAGCTGTGGTTAATGATGTTCCTTTGGCGCGCATACTAAGTGGAAATATTTCTGTGCAATATAACCATGTAGTTGGCCCCCAACTAAAAGCAAATGCGGCAACGAAGACATAAACGAAAAAAATTATTGTGTAAGAGGCTGTCTGGCTTGGAATGATTACTTCGACAGTGCCTGTTGTTGAATTGAACAATGGATGTCCATGCACGCCCATGGTAATGCCCATAGTAAACATTGATAAACTCATGAGTATAGCACCAGAAATGAGTATAGGTCGGCGACCCCATTTATCAAGAAATAGAATAGCAGGAATAGTGGCTAGAACATTGACGCATCCATTGATTCCAGTTGCTAGTAAAGCAGCACGCTGACCAGATAAACCAGCTTGCTTAAATATCGAAGGTGCATAGTACATAATTGAATTCATTCCAGTAAATTGTTGCAAGATTTGAATAGTAATGCCGAGAATTAGACGTCGGCGAAGTGGAAAACGTAAGAGTTGATAATAAGAACGAATCGACTGATCACGCTCGAAAGCGATCTCCTGTTTGATTTCGTTATATTCAATGAGTATGTCTTGTTGAGAGGATGAACGTATTTTATTGAGAACAGCCAGTGCTTCCTTTTCACGACCATTTGCCATCAACCAGCGAGGCGAAAATGGAAAAAATGGAATACCAATAGCCAAAATCAATGCTGGAACCATTTGAAGACCAAGTGGAATTCGCCATGATGCACTACTAGATGAAAGAAGCATATCAGTGCCTAAAATACACTAGAACTAATAAATGTCCAATAATAGATAAAAAACTATCATACGAAAATAGTGAAAGTTCTGTCATATGTTTAATCGAGTCTTCTAGTGAAGGGGCTATCAAAGTTTATATGTTTAAGATTGATGAAACATATTCAAAGCAAAAAGCTTTCAGATTATTCAATGACATTCTCTTGTATGAAGAAAACTTTACCATAATTAGTCCAGAAGCTAACTGCAATTCCTATGGTAATAGCCCATTGTTGAAGCGAAACGAGTCGTCCTCGAATTTCTTTTGTAGAAATTTCTGATTGATAAACAGGTACGATCATCGATAATGCACCAACACTGACACCTACAAAATTAATTAAATCTATCGTAAAATGAAATCCAAAGAGGCGTTATTTTACCAGCAATTAGACGAGATACAAGTAACATGGTTAAATTGATAGAACCTGCCTGCAATACACTGCTCACTATGAAAATAGCTGAAAAGACAACAATTGAATATTTTCGTGAGAGTTTATCACTCGCTTGACCGGCCATGAGAGCACCAATGAAGCAGCCAATTGACATTACACCTACAATTGATCCCGAAACAGCACTTGTCAATGAACCTCGAGCCAGACTTGCTTCGCCTCCAAAAGCAACAAGAAAATTTGACATTACGATTACGCCAGAGATCACGCCTAAATCATAGCCAAAAAGAAAACCACCTATAGCAGCGAAACCTCCCGTCGTATAGACTTGATAATCAGCTCGAGACAACATCTTAATTTTGCTTAAGAAATAATACATCTTTTTGTTGTTCTTTGTTTGTTGCTTACCTGTTTCAGTTGGCAGTTTTTTTAATAATACCCAATAAAATAAGACCTACGTCTTTATACGAATGTCTCGATAATCACATCAATTATTTTTCGTGTGTTTGTATTAGATAGTGAGTATTGATGTAAATAGAAAATTGATCGTGTTATAATCACAAAATAAGAAATTGAAACATGATTCTCTATCGATGATTGTGTGCGTGACCTTTACATGAGAAAAGAAAGCAATGAAAAATCAACATTGATTGAGAGTAAACCAATAATTTTTATAACATGTTTATCTTTATTATTTTGCATCCAACATAAACCTAGTTCAAGCACTAACCATATAAAATGGCTGTTACTCTAGACAGATCAAAAATGAAAACGAATGGTAGGTTTCAATCTATTATCTTCCTTTTTATATTCTGGATCAACAAGATTAGTCATTTCACAGATTGGGGCAGTTTATGATGCTGTGGGACCATTCAAGTTGTTCGAATTTGAATGACGGGGTGTGGGTGTGGGTGTGGGTGTGGGTGTGGGTGTGGGTGGTGTGGTTGGGGTGTGAGTGTGGGTTGTAGGTGTGGGTCCCTGTTTCATACACACCCACACCCACACCCACACACCCACACCCACCCACACCCACACCCCTTCAGAAATATGACTTTGAATACGCGTAATAACATACGGCGTACGCGAGAATTCAACATTGCATTACTTTTTCTAACTTTGAAAAAACCAAGTAACAACATCACAAATCAAACCTGACAAACCAAATTAATCAGCGCTTTCGCTGTTCTGTAAATGTTACTACTTTTTCAACGATGAGCAATACAAGTAAACACAAACACGGCATCATGTCAACAGCACTGAGTGGAGAATTAAAAGGAAAAAACCTGTGGGAAAGAAGAGAATAACAAAGAAATATGAAAACCATTATAAATATTATTGAAGCTTTAGCGAAACGTTATTATTTGTTCGTCTAGTGGTATATGAAAATTGAGCAAGTGAGTAATTTAAAGATAAATCACTTTTTTTTTTACTCCAAACTCTTCTGATCCCTGCATAGCATACTATTGATACCCGCTTACGATGTACCAAAGTCTATGTTGACCTCTGCCTCTTGGTTACATTCATTTAAATGCTATACACATATGACTCCTATAGGTTTCGCTGGCAGAATTGGTATTTAAATTAATTCGTAGATATATTTTTTGAAAAGCTTACTGTGAGTTAATTCATCAATATTTTGTTAAAACACACAAACAATCTATCGTTCATAGAATTCATTTTCAACAAACGCAGATAACTTTAGTCGGTAAACTTCGTATTTTCTCATTTATTCATTTTGGTGAGATAATATGGTTATTCATTTTTTTTTTCAAACATGTAAGTTGCACAAAACTCTAAAGTAGAATAAGCGTCAAAAATGCAACTTAATTATACATAATTCCAGAGAGGGTGTAGATGTGACAGTCAACTAAAGATAAACTAAAGCTTCACATAGCGTTGCATCAATGTTTTTTCTTTATTGATGCCAACATCTCCTAAATCAATCAGATCCACATTAGTTACTTCTCATATTTTTTTATTTTGTTAGAGTAAAAACAATCCTTCACTTAGTTATACATACCTATGGCTCGCGAAAAAAATTACTCAACATTTTTCTTTCATTATAAAAGAACTTCTGTAAAACATGATTATCAAAGGATGACGAAATACATGGCTAGAATATTGCTCTCACCTTTTCCAATCGGTCTTGGAGGCCATGAGCCATGTAATGAATGTCTTTTAAATTATGGACGGACAGTGCAAGCTAGTTTTTAAAAGAATGTAAGACATCGTAGATGCAGATTCGAGTTTTTCTAGGGCCGATTCGCACAAGTGAATGTTCCAAAACTGCTATCCTAAATTCCAAGTACGACTCGATGAGCTACATCGAATGGTGAAAATCGCTCCTCCGTACATGTTATGGTAACCCAGAAAAACCAAGACTACTATTTTTTCTTCCATTGCACGAACTTCGAACAAAAGTAATTTTTGGGCCAATTCGTCCAGGAGAATGCTTCAGCAAAAGGATACTATATTCAAAGTGCTATTTCACTCGTTCTATCCAATGGACAAAAACCGCATCTCAATAGGATGCTCCGTTATTGACCTCTACATCTCACAATGGACAGCATCCTCCATATGGCAACATCTATCATAAAAAAATCGTAGTTTCTGGGCCGCGTCGTCCCACAGAATGTTCTAAGTAACATTTTGTGAGCCCTATCGAATGGTGAGACCCACATATCGATACATTCAAGCGTTCACGTGATAATGCTCTGATACCGGGGTTAATTTCCCTGGCAAGCCGGTAATACCTGGACCGATTCGCCTCATACAATGGTTCAACAAATGCAAATGATGCTCCATATGCCACTCTGCGAGCGGTACCCAGTGGTGAAAGGCGTATCTCGCTAGTGTGCTCCTAGCTCTGGATATCAACCTATCGCCGACCGGAATACTCATTTGGACCCGATATCAGGACATATCTCCTGGGGTGGTTGAATGTATCGGGATGCATTCTTCAGAGTGTGGGTGTGGGTGTCAGTTGGCTGTTAACCACCCAGTCACATCCGCACGGCCACATCCACATCCTAGCAAACGAATAAGTCTCTATTCATTTGATAACACATGAGTAATTTTATTTTAGCCATCAAGCTTTTCGAGTTTTACGACAGTCAAGTGAAATACATATTAATATCATAAAAACAATTCAATAGAAGCAACGCTACGAAAGTAACGAATAAAAAACATACACTTGTTTGTTTATATATTCATTTACATTTTCATTTTCATGTCACCATAATTCTAAAAATCAACTGAAAATAACAAAACAAAAACTGTGACATTTTTAGTAAGACACGGATACTTATAAGTTACTTTCAACAGAACATTTCTTTCTTTCTTTTTTGTTTTCAGTCTGCAGGTAGAACGCATTTGAATGTGTAAACGTATCTTTGAAGTGATACCGCATTGATATTATTATGAAGAAGCTTGACTTACACTTATATGAATGATCTTCATATAATTTGACCAATAAGATTTATTTTAACAAGAATATGTTCAGTGGTCTAACAGAACTGAGTTGAACAATGGAATTTTTCACAATCATGAGAAAAGGATGTGAGGGCGCACGAAGAAAGTGCCTAAATCGGCGATCGGAATTCAAAACTCAAAACCGAAAAAATAATCATTCTTCTTGGAAAGAAATCTCTATATTTTATTTTATTTTATTTAGAGCTAGAGAAAATTAATAAGTAATTGGTGTGTCATATCGGGTAAATTCATTCCGAAAAGTACTGTCTAAGTTAATAGTAACTGGGGACAGTTCTTAGCATTGAGATCAAATCGCTAAATGATCTAACTATATTTAATAGTATCGATTTTACGATTGATCATTTCAATCATATTTAATTAAGTATCTTGAGCCATTTTTTGAAATTCGTAACATATCAATTTTGATTGATTAAAGGTTTCTAAATAAGATTTGTAAAGCCCAATAAATTCTAGACAAGAAAAATATAGGAGCAAACAAAACATAAACTTGCTTTTTTATAGTGCGGGCAGAAATCATCAGTTCTTGCATACTCAAACACTCTCAAATCTGAATAGAAAAAATCCAATAGAGATAGTAGAAAGATGATAGTATTATAATCAGAACAATATTACAGAATCACTGATTTTCACGATGAAATCTCTGTAACTAAATGTATGGATATCAGTGTGAGAATAAGCGTGCTTTCCGCTTGGACACTAATATATTCTCTTTGCCAAAACACACATCTACTTAAGAGAGAGTCCGAGCAAACTTTCAACATAATAAGAAATGAAGGAATATGGCAAAAAGCATATGATGACATACCAAACAACAAATTTATTAAAATAAGAATTGAAAAAAACAGATACAAATAAAATATTACTATTTCAAAAGTCTTTCCATTCAATTGACTAAATAGACAATCGGAGCAGTTGTTCGAAAAAATCCGATGCATCCATCGAGAAAAAATGCTAATAAAAGGACTAACGAAAGTCCCATTATTATCAATCTTGATTTCAGAGGGTCATCGTCTCTGCTGATGTTCCAATATAAATTTGGACAAATCAATAGTCCACTGAGAATTCCGACTAAAAAGCCTGAGTAGTGTCACATATCCAAGATTTTGGAGATGCCACCGCATCTCCAGCGGGAGACGCGGCACCCACACTCGGGAGATGAGGTCATTCACCACTGGAGATGTAAGATCTCCTTTAGAGAGNCGGTGGTAAATCTGCAACAGAAAAAAGGATTTAGAATCAATTAATTTAGTTAAAATTGAGAAATATGACAAGTAGATAATGATAATTATGAAAATTTGTGCTCATCATCTCTTCAGAATGGTAAGGGTATTGATTTCCTATAAGTATCTTTAATACTCATTCCGCAGTATTTGTCTGATTCACCGCGCTTAAATGTGATTTTTTGAAAACTAATGAATGTTGTATCTATTTCCTAACAAAATCATGAAATTTTCAGATGAAACTTCGACTTCGAAGAAAAAGTAGACAGGCCAGGCGGCCTGCCTGGTCTGTCTTAGGAGTCGGCCTGGCCTGCCTGTGACAGGCGCAGGCCTCAAAATAGTGGCCTGTGCCTGTCACAGGCCGGCAGGCCTCGTGGCCTGTTTGGACCTCTGATAGCCAGGGTATTATAACTTCTCATGAAAAACTTAAAGAAAATTTTTGTTACTAGGGGCTGATAGTAAAAGCAAAGCTCTACATTCATCTGCCATTTTGATCGTTCTTCAACTAATATAATAATAATAAAATTTCGATAAGAACTGTTTTTTATGATATGCGACACAGACCGTCATCACGACAAAATAGTTTGACCTGCTAAAGTTTTTTCATAAAAACGTCATTTGAAATCATTTACTAAACGCA